CGAAAGATTTATCGGTATACGTACGGATGACTTAAGGTAAATAGTAAACGAGCTACATAGAGTTGCGTTTCCGCGAATGCAACCGCTGCATTCCCGTCGTTAAGTATACTACATCGGAACAAAGGGTCTGCCCATATAATTGGCCAGTCGCAAACGATCCACGACCATCGGACTCTTCTAATCATCCGTCTCGCGATCGTTGACGTTTATCCTAATCGTTTCTAATGTACGGTTCGTGGCAGCTAACGATGATTTCCCAATCACCACCTAAAGGGGGGTTTTCACGAGGAATCGAATACAAGGTGATTCGTTGACACCGAACGCAATCCGTACACACGGAATTTACGGATTCCTCACCTTCGATTAACGGTGATTAATTGGTCGTCTTTTCTGGTTACTCAATCGTCAGATGTCGGTGTTTAGCATTAACGAGATGAAGCGTAGTAAGCATCTGAAAGGTAAATAATTTTCCTTCATTAACACGCGAACATTACCAATAGATACGAAGCAATTACAACATCTGATCCACGTGTCTTCGTTCGTAATGGATCTGCATGGGTAGAATCGGGAATAAAACTCTTCAATGAAACCTGTAGTTACTAACATTAAAGAACTATATTATGTTTACAATGAATTCACGTAACGACGCTTCTTTGTACCTGATTTTGCAGCCGAGGATTGTGGTGCCTGTTATTTAATTGGCGTCCAATAAATTAAAATACAGTCATTGACAAGTATTCTATTACAAACGTCGACCTAGACTACTGATACATCGCAATCGACATCGTGGCGTCCACTCATAGGTAAACGTTTCTGTAGGAAAGAAGGTAGAAAAATCTCGACCAATTGAAATCATTAAACTTCTCTAGCGCGATGAAGGTGACACAGTTCGTACTTCCCTTTCACTTCTGCAGAACAAGTAATTAAATGCAAATAAAGATACACAAATAATTGAGCAACAGCAACTAGCTTGCTGAAGAGGAAAAAGGAAAAATCGGTATATCTTCCCTTTATTGGACCTCCATCTCTGCCTGGGAACGATGCTGTTTCGTCAACAGTCTTTCATCCGTGTTAATGTTCATATCTCATATCCAGTCATCGATCTTCAATGAAGACACTCAAAACGCTATTTGTTACTCGTATTCCGTGGCAAGAGTGTCAAGATTGTATGCGAAAGATGGAAACACCTTTTGCGTTTCGAAACACCGAGGTTTCGCGAGATTCTTTAATTATAAATGGAATGTGGAATAATTCCTCCTTGTGGTTAACGCGAGCTAACAATTTTCCGGCAAACTGTGCGTTAATAATTGATATTCCTCTTGCAGACGCGTCAACGGTATCGTCCCGTTTATGCGCGAGAACATGATTCTCCGCGAGACTTCCATTTAATTATGCAGTTACACCGAATTACACGTCGGCGGTCACATCCGTTTTTGACGAACAGTAGCATACAGGTTTTTGTCGGCAGGTATCTGCCGTTTTGTGCACGCTCGAAAGTTCGCGGGCCCCGAGCCGTCCTTCGGGTACCAGCTCGGCGAAGGCCTCTCTGTCTCAAATGTGCCGTTTTTTATTGTGCGTAATTCATGCCTTCGCCAACTCAGTACACGGTGAATTTTATATCGTCGCCGTCGGAATCCAAACCAGCGGCTGCAAGGAAGAGAGGAAAATGTCCTCTGTGTCTTGGATCTCGAGAGACGGAAAAAAAATCCGCGTTCCGCGACACGGATCCATAAGTGTTGAAATTATGCAAGATGGGTAAGTATTAAACTGGTTTTCGTCGCGGTATAGAGAACACTGGTCATGCGGGCCTTGCAAAAACAACATATGTCTCGATGTACAACAAAAGCGTGAGCTTCAATGGAAGGTGACAAGGGAGGGGGTAACGGCGAAAAGTCGAGAAAGAAAAGTTGGTGATCCCTGTGAAACACGCGGAAAGTCGATTTCACTTGAAACGTTATGTCGATTATGCGTATATTTACATCGATAAGAAGAAAATAATTTGTTGCACGATCATACGGAAACTGGCCATTTAATGTTTTGACAACACCGGGGCACCGCGGAAAATTTTCACCAAGGTTCTATTTCCGAGTGGCGAGTTTTCGAGCTGCGCGAGCCAAATTACTACACACCCGTCATTATAAGTACGCTGTTTATCGCCGTTGTCACGGTTATCGCAGCGCCCGATACAAAGCGCGGGGGATGATTAAAGATGCAAGTAATAATTGCTGCCGGAGGAAACTGTAATTAACGTAACAATATCGGTATGCTAAATGTGTTCCAATTAATGTCTCTATTACAAAAGTTTTACATTATTATAAATCACCAATAAATGTGTATATACCTACCTGTAAGAAATCGTTGGTAATGCAATTGCTATTAGAAGGAAGTTATCGATTAATGATTAATTTGTAGAAATATTTTAAATCGCTCTCGTTGCTGTGCATTTCTTTGCACTTACAATTTAGACTGGAATGTGTATAACTCAAGTATGAAGTCTTTTGCAAGTCTATATTAGAGTTCATCGTTTCCATGAATGCATTAAAACATCGCGATCTATTGTTAGATCAAAGCCTGCTACATTTAAACAGACAATGTAATATTCCCATGATATCTAGAAAGTTCCCTAACAGAATTGTAATCGATTAAAGTCGGATGGGTGAATACTCCATGTAAACTATCGAATTCAATATTTACACAATGACGTTTCAAAATCTCGTTTTCTCTCGACGCCACGAAACGCTCGTGCATCGTTCTCGGTAGGCTGAGTCAGAAATACCTAAATTTACATTTTTACACTTCGGTATGACATCCTGGCCACAGAACTAATAGTCTGCGGACAATTCCATCGACGTACTCTAAACGAAAGTTCGGTTCCAAGGTTCGGTGTAGCGTAAAAATCTGACGCGAATCGTGTAGATACGCGACTTAAAAGTTGAATAAAGTTTCGGGAACAGGGTGAGGTGTTTTGGTGAAAGAAACCGAGGCGCAGACTGCGAGGCTCTTCTGACGTTGAACGAGACCTTGATGGAATCTCGGATCGACTGAGCAAGTATCGCATAATTTTTCCACATGATTTGGTGCATTGTGCGCCCTAGATAGCATTCATAACGCAAGCTTAAGAATAACCGATGTGGCCTCCGAAGGGACCAAGGTTAAAGTGTACATACGAGCAAAACAATGATGATTCCACTGCAAGCGACACCACCTAATTCATCTTATTAATAACACATTAGTAATTATATAATACTATAACACTAATACTATTAATATAGTCTATTCTGCTTTCATAATCGTTAGACAATATTCCCTCTTGACCATTAGTAATTTAAACACTTTTTTCTTCAAATTTACCTTCCATACGGTAAGAATCGTAATGTGTATAAGCACAAGTGTAAATATTTGCGCCTGTTTAAGTATGCATTAATCAGATGACTCTTCGAACTTGTCAGATTACTCTTTGTTTGCGGGACATCCTTTACACAGCATCGGAAAAGTCACCCCGGTGACAGGCTCGAGCTGGATCGAAAGACACGCTGAAAAGACGGAGCTATGTAGACTCGAGTTACGCTGTTTCCCAATACTTACCGTTTACTCGGCAATCGTGCTCAACGAAAAAAGTTCCGATCTCTGTTGTTAACCCAATTCGCAAACATCAATGCATACCGTCTCCTGTGCCGTACCATGGGAACGGAATTCTTCCTGATGAAACACGTATCGAAAAGAGGCGATCGAATGTCGATCATAACAAATTCCTATTCAAGTAAGATGAAAGAAAGACAGCAAGGAAAAAGTAATTGAGATGATGCCATAACTTTATTGTTGTAATATAATGCTATTTTGGAGGAACGTAAGAGGAGTATCCGTATCAATGGAGGTCCTGCGGTATTGGAGTTTCCTGCATCGAGTGAACTGCACACGTTGTCCGCCCCCATCATTGTCGTTGTCACCGGATCGATAAAAAGTTTTTGTAATTTTTGGCATGCTTCAGAATATTCTTCAAGGTGTCAGTATCCTGTCCTTTATACACTCCTTCTCGAAATTTCAGGGTGCATTCGATTCTTCGTATGAAATATTATCTTTGCCTAATAAAGTACAATAAAATATATTTTTCTTCCATCCGACGAAAAATAAAATCAAACGTACTCAGAGTAAATTCACTTTTTTTCTATGTATTGTTGCCACTTGTTCTCAATTAAACTGCCTGTTATATCATAAGTACACAAGACTTCCCTATAAAACAATTAAAATTGTTTTTAAAACTTCACCGAGACAGATGCATATAAATGTCATCACCCCCGACCCACCCTCTCAACCACGTAACCCGTGATGACAAATTTGAACGTGCAACGAAACCAATCCAGATAAGCGTGTTGCAAATCTCAGCTGCATATACAATTTATAAATCCGTTCCGAGATCGAATAAAAAACAAACAAAAAAAGGCGAAGCTGTACAGAGTTGGTAGAGTGCAGGGATGCGACGGTGTCCATCCGGTGCTGCCACCTAAGCGGAGGAAAAGCGAACGATTGGCTGGCAGCTCGCAGGCGCATTTCCCGGTGCATTCTCCCGTTCGTGGCTGGTCTCGAGCGTCGGCAGCCTTCACCGCCGCGTCATTCCTTCCCCGCGATCCGCCGACGGTGGTACCGTTCTTTCTTCTCCTCGTACACCCTTTTTTATCTTTGTTCCCCCGGCTGTTGGTTCTTTCCCCCGCGGTGGGGCACGCGAGTGCGCTCCGGGCCAGCAGCGAATTCTTCGGTAGCTCCCGGGATTGCAACAGTTGCTCGTTCGTTTTAGCATCCCTTTAGTTCCTTCAGCCCCCATTGTTCCCTTTGCTTTCTCCGTTTGCTCATCGCTGCCTTTGCTTTCCCTGCAGCCCCCCCCCCTGACCCTCCCCTATCATTCCACTTCAGTCCTACACCACTCGTTTGTTCTCGGCGTTCGTATCGGTTCCCCCTTCCATCCGGTGACCGATAAGCGTACCACTGTCAGGGTCGAAGAAAGAAGAGGTCGAGGTCCGAGTTGCGCCGCCAGCTGTTCCGGCGACACGTCGAGCAGCGTACAGTGTCTGTCTGCCTCGCTTGCAACCGGCCCTCTTTTCCTCTCTTTCGCCTCGAACATCCCGGCACACGAGGCACGAGACCGCGTACCGGATCGAGCATCGAGACCTCGCACCACAGCTCCGAAAAGCACGCACACACGGTCCCCGCCGCTAGCAGAACATGTCGCTGATCGTCGGCTGCTGGCGACGACTCACCGAGACACCGGTCAGAACCGAGGTAAACAAACAATCATCGTATATGTATACATACATACAGCTCGTACCGCGAATGTGATGTTCTAGTTGTTGTGCTTTGCTCGGACATCGGCACACCCAGAAGTAAACTCGAGGTTTCGGTAATTCTTGCCGGTCAGCTGCGGACACTGAAATTTCTCGAAGGATCGTATAGGTTTGCTCGGACATCGGCACACCCAGAAGTACACTCGAGGTTTCGGTAATTCTTGCCGGTCAGCTGCGGACACTGAAATTTCTCGAAGGATCGTATACGCACTTGTTTTTCTGGAAATCGTCGAAAATTTTGTTTATTCATTTATTTATTTATTTATTAACAGGGTAAATACACTGTAATGCAAAAGTTATCACAATAAGATAACATGGAATTATAGTGTAATCATTACACACGATAATTAAGATTGTGTAAACACACGCCATTTGGGTGAACTTTCGAAACGTGAACAACTGATTCGAATTATTTTTAGCACGAAACGCATGGAAGTTACTAAAGTGTTTCTATAGACAATCGTTTTCCAACCGTATCTGCATGTATGTTTATGTCTCTGCGTATTTTTATAAAAATCCAGAATCGCTCTCGATAGTCATCTTTCAGAGTTTGCCTGCTTATTATCTGGCTTATGTTGCACACTCGTTGCTGCATTGTATTAAAATAAACATTGCCGTTCGATAAAGCTGTAGATCGTGATAAAAATATCAACGTAGACAGTAACTGGGTGGGAGATGTCAAAACGTAAATGGTTAAAATTTGTTAAAATAAAATTTGCGGAGAAAAACAATCTCCTGATTCTGTAGATGATCGATCGAGTGTCCCGAGTGAAAGTGGTCTCCATTGAATCGTGGCGAGGACCGAGGTCTTCGCGAACCGAATCTCTCCTAAAGGTGACCATGCCTCGTGCGTCTCCTGTCATGGGATAATAGAATAAAAAATGTTCGCAAAACGTTGAAAGACAGCCAGTGTTTTCGTAGACCTCGGATGTGTGATTTATGTGTGGCCGGGACACCGGTCCCGCGAGCCGGCTGACACGCGAGAAACGTCGTGCCTCGTCGACGGAATTTCAGTCGTGTAAGCGTCGGGACGTTGGATTGATTGAAATCCCCATCGAATGACAACCCGCGATTAAACGTCGTTGAATGCGATCTGTGTCATTCGGAGAAACTGCGACACGCGGCTCTTTGCTCTTGTAACCTTGAAACTCTATCGGATCAATTATGCGTCCGCTAATCTGCCTTCGATCCCCGATCCCCGTATGACTTCGCTTATCGAGTCACACGGGAGACATTGCTCGGGGGAGGTTCGCTCTAGAATTTCCTCGATTTCATTAAGCTCACACGCCCCCCGTTATGCTAATGGATCCCGGGGTTGGCTCTCGGATCCTGCGGAAGTCGAGGTCCCATTTTTGTTCCGCCGTTCCGGCGCTAATATTTATCTTTACGCGCAACGCTTAATGAACTTCGCTCAAGGATTCAGCGAGATTATGGAATCTTAAGCGCCCGTTTTGCTGGAAATATTTCTTTAGGGAGTTTGAATTAAATGATTATTCCGTGTGTAGACTGTGGATGGTGACAGTTTGACGAACATATGCGAATTCTTAAATTAACGAACTTCTTCGTTTACACAGGGTGTTTCATGTCAAAAATAAATCACAAATGTAGAATAAAATTTATGTTCCATGATGCTTTGTTTCCGAGATAATCGAATTTCAATATCTATTGAATACGCGAGCAATTGCATAGGACTTGGCTATCGCGTCTGTTCATCACATTCTGTGTCTACTTATCGTCACCGCGAATACACGCGTACTCGATGAAATTTCCAAATGGTTTTTCTCGAAAACAAAGCCTCGTACGAAAAAAATGCATTACCCTTTTTTGACTTATTTTTCCTTATAAAATCATCTCTTTCCTGATAGTAATATCTGACCTGAGACACGTTGTATATTGCAATAAAAGTTGCTAAGAATCTTAGAAAATACACTTAACAACCTGCTTACGATATAAATGTGCGTATATTTAGAAATTTTTATAACGGTATATCGTTGCTTCTTCGTATACTTCAAGATTAACTGTAACATTAGATCTTGTAAAGTCGTCATTAAAGCTTTCTTCGCTTCTTAATCGTATGAGTGCCTTCCAACTTTTCGTTACTGCTTCTCTTGTTACTCATCAGATTTTATAAGTAGCATACTTGATTTACTTGAGTACATTCTCCATGAATAATATAACACCTTTGAAGCAGGCCCTGCTAAATAAAGCCCGAGCGAAGTGGCCAATTAGTAGGTCCAGCGCGATACGCGGTAGGCAAGTTTCTCGAAGGAATAAGAAAATTTTCTTATGTAAGCTACTGCGCTGGTTTAACTTGCTCCAGCTGACCGATTTAAAGTCCCGCGCAATGTTATATTATTCGTGATATGGCTGAAGCGCGAGCCAACTTCTCTCAATAGACCTTAATCGTTTTTTCAGCTAAAGGGCTACAAGGTCACCGACGTGAACCGCACGCGGAAGTTCGGCATCGCGTGCAGAAGCCTTCAGGAACTGAAGCGAAAAGCCTGTGCGAAGCTGAACGTGAGTATCGAGTTATCGATTAAGGCCCGTAGCGTTCGTAAAATCGATCGATCGCGTCCGGCTCAACGGCTACGACGGCCAACATTCCCGGCCGATTCATCCTTGTCGCGATGAGAAACGTATCGCGACACAACGTTGCTTTTACGTGTTATAATAAAAGTTGTCGGCTGAAACTGGGTCGTAAAAGCCTCGCGGCTGATCCATAAAGCGGATCCAGAAAAATTCTAACGCCCTGGTTCCTGCTGTTTCGTTATCGCCGAATTGGGATTTCGTTACGGTTGCCCCTAAAACGGACCGAAACCGTTCCGCTCGGAAAATTGCTGAAAACTCAATGAGAGACCTACCCCACCATTCAGGAAATCACTGTACTTTACGATTCTCTTTACGTTTCGGTCTGTGTGTCGAGGCTTCTGTTACTACTTCTCCTCTAAATTGAAATGAAAATTAAGTCGGAATATTTTTGTTAACGCGATTGGAGGAAAATCAACGCGTTTACGAATCTAGAGGTCACTAGCGATCGTCATTAGACTTTGGAGCATGGAACCTTTGGAGGCAACGGTGATACCAAAATTAATCAAAAGCACTTATGTCAAAGAGCGTTGTATTCAGCAATTCAAGATCATCATTATAGGATTTTCGAAATTTTATTCAACAGTATTATCGCGAAAAACATGAGCGGCTGGTATAATTTCAATTTCAAAGGACAATTTGATCGGAAAATGTGCATAACGAAAGGAATATCGCAGAAAAACTCTGACGAACGACGTGTTGAAAGAAATCGTCGAGAGCGATCTATGCGAAGCAGCACCGGAGATAGACTTAAATGAATATTAATCATCCTCTGATTGTTCGCCGCTTACCAAAGATCGAAAAGCAAACAGTATGGATATTTGGACTGGTTCAAAGGCTTTCGAGAATCAAGGTTCCGACACTTCATCGAAATAAATCCGTTCGAGTTACGGACTGTCCGCGATGAAAAATGGGGTTTCAGAGGATAATTGGAAACCGCCGGACAATGGCTGTATAAAGCAGAACGTAAAACGCGTGTACGTCGTATGCATTGCATCGTCCGCGAATGACAGTGGTTTAATAAAGACAAGAAAACACGTGTATGCGATCAACGAGAAACAATTCATGACACTGGACTTCGGAATGTTTAATTAATAGGAAGCCATCTGAATCTGCATCCAATGCACCTTCCAGTAGGTAAACTAAACACCTCCGTGAACGAAACAAATTTCTCTATTAGTACAGAACGAAGACCATGAGAACAGTTCATTATATTCACATGAAACTACGTCACTGAATCCGATTACCACCAGTACAAAAGACTACACAAAAGCTGTTTTGTTTTTTTCGAACTAGCGAAGTTTCAAGAGAATATACCTACACCTGGCTTTAAGGCTCGATCGGGACACGACGCCGTCGCACGTGCACGCCGTGGCGGCGTTTATTCAATCGATTTCCGTGTTAATCGGTGGAAACCTCGAGAGGAAACGTATCCTCCGGGGTAGCCCGTTTAAAGTGCGATCGAACGAATTTAGAAACCGTTGAATCTCGAGCAACCGCGATTCTCTCGGTGGATTTGCATTCACGCGATCGCTTTGATGGCGGAAACGGTCGAGCACGATTCGGCTAATTACCTGGCGCAAAAGACGGACAGAGAGAGGATTAAGGTTTTCCGCGGGCGCGGGGAGACGTGTTCGTTGCGAGCGGTTTCGCGGTTAGGTTAATCCGGTTGCGGCGCGACCTTGGGGCCGGATCGCATTCGCCTGCAAAGCGTGCAGCTCTATCGAACCAGTAGCCGGGACACGGGCAAGGAGCAGCCTCCAATGTCAAGGTCGTCCGTCTGCTGGACCGATACCCGGACCACCGGCCGAAACTTCTCGACAGGAGTCAAGATTCTTCGATTTCTACCCCTTTCGGGTTCGCTTCGACATCCACGCGCACGCGGATTCCCATTCGCCGCTGGTAAACGACATTCCATTGTTATAGTTACATACATATGTATATGGCGCAAAACTGCGATACAGAAGAATTGATTGCGGTTATGTGCCCGCGGTGATATTCGATCCGTTGGTGGCTGCTGGAGTTATCAGTGTACAGAGCGATTCAAGATATTTCGACGGGATTTCTTTCGAATTTTTCTTTTCATTATACCGAGGTAGATTTATCGGTTGACGATTCTATTCCCCGAAAACGGTGAAATGATATTGATGTACATCCGTTTCTACCTTGGTTGTTTTCGATAGTAAGAATTTATTATAGATAATCATTTTGATATTACATCAGGTAGTGAATACGATGCATTGCAATCAATTCTAATTAAATCGATCAATTTCTTAGTGGGTAATTATCGAAATTGTGATTTGTACAGGGAAATCAAGTGTTTGAGAGTACTTGATGAATCAATTGAAAATCCAATTAAATTCATGGATGGTCTTCTATACGGTTTACTGGAAGCTTGCATCGTTTGTCCCTGATCGAACAACATTAACCCCTTGCCCGACGATTTATGTTGAAGCAGAGACGCCTGTCCAGACTATTTAACTTTAACACAGCACTATGTCCCGTGTAATATGGGGCGGGCGTATCCCGTCAAAGTTGAGCTTGGCACAGAGACCTGATGCGGGCGATACACGTCATTTCCACTCAAAGGGTTAAGTACAACCACAAAAGCCAAACAGTCACAGTATCAGTCATTATGGGTTGGATGTTTACCAAACTTTCCGAGATTCTTATCTCTGATGGCCCATGTCTAACATTGGTGTTCCTCAATAAACATCGAGGCCAACAAACAACCACCACTTTGATTTTGATTTGTCTTAACCGTACATCTTTCAGTTTTCGAAATAGTTCGCTGTTCGACGAACGTCAGTCGGAAGTAGTTAACAGGTACATCAACTATGAATCACCCTCTATATAAAGACGTTTCCGAGTACGTAACCACAAGCTCCGCCAAGCGAAAATCGTCGTTATTCACTTGAACAGTTTCGATTCACGATTCCAGTGAATAAATGGCTCATTTGTGCTGTGTGTAGCTGCAATAAATTCATGAGTGTACGATGTGTTGTTTGACAGTGAACCATTGAAATTTCACAAAATCATTGCTGTACGATACATCATATATATATCTGTTATCTTTTTCAAATATTTGTCTTGTCGAGAATTCTTCCTCACCTCGATGTATTTGAAAGGATCTAGATCAGTGGTTTTAAACCTTTTTACACCTGCGGACCAGTGGAAATATGAAAAAAAGTTCGCGGGCCGCGAAGGCAGAAGTAAAAGCCATGATTTATGTAATATTTTGTGCATTAGTCTGTAAATTTAATATTATAAAATGAAAATTTTCTAGATATTTAAGATAAGCAAAAACCGAACAGTAAAGAAAAATGTTAATAATATAATGTCTCTAACGTTTGAGAAAGCAATAATTTAATTTAAAAAAAGTAACTTCTTTGTGGACTTACAGACAATTTCTGCGAACCGGCACCGCCAGATATTTTACTCAATTTTACCTGACTTTTTAGTGACCGAAATTTTACTCAAGCATTCATTCGTAGGTTACAACAGACCTCGCTGAAGTCAATGTCTTCCTGCTGGACGGATCGCTGATCGACGAGGAGTACTTTTCTACCCTGGCGCCTCAGACAACGCTGATCGTCCAGAACCCTGGCGAGAAGGTGCTAAGCGGTCAGTACAATTAGTTCGTAACTTGAGAATTCTCTTGTTGTTGAAATTAATTGAATTCTCTTACAAAGGAAGTCTAAGATCGTCCCGAAGGCTTTGTACTGTGAAACCTAGTGAAAAATGAATAATCAGCCGTTTGACGCTTTAAAGACGACATTAATGATTAAATCTCTTCAGGTGTCCGTTTACCTCCACTAGGAATGGAAGGTAGATGTTTGAAATTTTGCGAATAATCGAGATGTTTGGTTCTAGACCAAATTGTTCGTGTTCCCTTTGAGAGTTAGCAGTGTCGGGTCTCCTGTGAAACGACGATCATTGTGCCGTGGATCCGTGATCGCAGATGTTTGCGCGGAGAACGCGTCTCATAATATTACGGTGAAATGCAGATCCTCGAGAACCGACGACGTCTGCTTACAGATGCGGACCTCCTGTACGACACCTTGAGGCGCGTCAACATCGATTTCCTGGCAGCCGGCGACAAGGCGTCCGAGTTCATCACGGAAAACCTTAAGGCGAAGGTCGCCGTTCTAAATAGCATTCTGAACAATGACGATTCGAAAACCGCGCTCACCGGCAGGGACGAGCACCCGGAGTGGTTTCGCGGTTTGGAGACCAACTATACGACCAAAGTGAGTATTCCGTAACGTAGCAATTGTTTCCACACTTCGGTTCCTATTCTCAATCGCTGGTACTTCTGTATCTGATTCCTTGTTTGCCGTTTTCGTGTAACAACAACGAGACACTTCCTCACTCTTTCACTTGATTCGTCTTATAATTCGTTACTATTATCAAAGAATTGGTATATTCTTACCTGTTGTTTCATCGATTGCTGTTTTACGGCCTGATTTTCACTGAGCAGGTGAAGAGTAAAACATTACTTCGGAAGGAAATTAGTACATAGACAGGGCTGTTGAAATGTGGTCACACAATTTACAAACGAGCTGTAAGACGAAAAATTATGCGATGTGACTGAACTATTTCTGCTAATTAAAGGAGAGCCGTGAATTACTTTCCTAGACACCCGCTTACCAAGGCTAGCGAGCGACTCGTTAACAGCTTTGCAGTGTTTATACTTCGGAAGATAATAAACGAACGCTAACATTCACAATGTCACATAATCTTGTAGAAGTAAACAGTACAGATACTATTTCATTAGAAACGAAGGTAACCATTTTATTTAAAAGGAAAATAAAGCAATTGTTTTTGAGATATTCGTTCCAGTAGAAATGAGTTGCACAGTCTATGGTAAGAAATTCTTCAACTAAAATCGCAAGGGTTATACCTATTATGAACCATTTTCATATGTATGGTAATAAGGCACTCTGGGTCGACAGTGTAATGCAATTTAACGAGGGCGAATCTGCCCCGTACCGTCCAATATCGCTCCGGCTAATTAACGTTACAACGCCTCCACTTTCATTCCACGAGCTTGCCATTTATCGCGCGTCAAGTTTCAGCTGGGAATCTCGACCTCTTCGTCTAACGGTTCCACGGAATAATTAATTAGTTCGTTATCGCTATATCGCCGGGCGGTGGGTTCGCGTGCGATTCCGTTTTTATCGCCCGCGCTCTTTGAACGGCTGTCCGTCTAATGCCCGCCGTATATCTGCCACAGAGTTCGAAACCACTGAAAAGTAATTATTTCAATTATTTCATTTCCGAAAGTTGACGTCCACATGCACGAATCGTGAGAAGTTTTTTTACGAATCGTTGGGGTGCCTTTAGCATGGATAACGTGTCAGGTTAAAAAAATGATGGATATTCCTCGTATATTTACACGGCGGATATTTCTCGATTACCAGGGTAATCCTTCCATCTACACCAGGAAATCCCTGTTTTCCGCAAGTTCCTCGTCTAACCTTCCGTTCGATATATCTCCGGCCCTAATACCAAATATCCTCGTGTCTAAGGCAAGGATCAGTTAGGTAGCTTTACTGGTGAAATACGAAGCCTACATTCCCCTTTCACCGTCGAACTCCCCTTTTGACCTTATTCTTTTCTTATGATCATTAGGATCAACGTATCCGTTACTTCGACGCTATAAAAATTCCCATTTAGAAATTCTGTTTATTGATTATATGTATGACTTTATTGGGCGATATGCTAGATTGGTAGAGTAGGTTTGGTATTTTAACGAACAATAGCGACAATTTCGTTGGCGATTTATCGAAAACAATACCTCCTATTCGCGAAGCTTTCGGGCTGATCACGTTCGTCAATCCGATGACCTGTTTCGAGTAGCTACTAATAATTCGATCAGCGTTCGTTGCACGAAATTAGTCTCATTTGCGGAGGATAGTATGTTTCAAAATTTTCGTCAATACGATTATTGAACATCAGGTGTTCATACATTTTCTTTCGGTATTTTCAATCTATCAGTTCTTTGTCAGTACTAGCCACGGAATAACCGTGAAAGAATTTCCATGACTTCAGGCAGTTGTAATTTGTCTATGCTTGCGACCTTCGATAAGGCGGAACATTAGAGCCAATTCTTTCCAAAGGAATCCTTTCTATCCCGGTCATACAACGAAGGTCAATCTAAATTTCGTTGCTCATAGAAGTCAACTACAAATCTCGATGTTTCTCGCTTCTTACTCGTGTTTCTTATTCTCCCTGCACAGGAGGCGTACCTGCACCGCAGGTGTCAGGACAGGATACGCGGCTATCTCTACAAAACGATCGATCAGATCAAGTCGTCGGAGACGTTCGCGAACGACCACACGGCTAGGAAGCAACTGTTGTACGCCATAGCGTTCTTCAAGATGCAACTGAAGGAAGATCACTACTTCGGTTACTACTTTGATCGAAGTCGAGCGACGATCGCCTCGACAGAGTCCGTCGACGAACGGGACTCGTCGACCTGTTACGATCATTGCCCGTGCAGACTAAGTCGGCTCGACGACAGCACGTACTTCCGGTTATTCGGGGCAACCCACTTGTCCTGCGTGGACGGTCCGATGAAACGGTCGAACTCGAATTCGAGGACAGAGGAAGAGGACGCGGAGAACGATTGTCCTTACAAGGTCCGAACGAAAGAAAGAGCGACCTGCGTCGCGATCTGTGATAACAAAGGCGAATTTAGATGCGGCGGCGTCTGGAATGCAGACAACTGTGCTTACGGAGATAGACACAGAATCAACCCTTACAGGTCGAGGGAGGAACTGATCCTGTTCTCCACATGGAATCTCGACCATGTGTAAGAATTTCTTTGAGAATTTTCCTAGGCAGTGTACAGATCGCTGTAGAATTATTGGTAGAGACTTGACTGACAGATGAACCGAGCAAAAATGCACAATTGAATTTATCAATCGTGAATTAATACTTTATACTTGGTTTTCCTTAGTTAATTTTTAGTTAATCATTCATATGCTAAGCAACCTCGTATAACCTTTTAAAATTAACTTCTAACATCGTAGCAACTTCTATCTTATCGTATCACTAATACCAAGAGAGTGAAATTTTACAGGACTTTGTATAATTTTCAGAATCGAGAGATCCAGAACCTTGATACCGCAATTTTTGAAACTATCATCGCAAGGAAGTGCCAGGGAGGAGGACATCTTCGCGCTTTACGACAATCTGTTCACGGTGAAAAACTTGAGGCTGGTTCACATCGTGTGCCACGACAAGGGCACGCACAAATAAACATTATCGCATAAAAACGACCGATCGAAAGAAAGGTCCGATGACGGCGGAAGATCTACATATTTCAAGATACGTAACACGTAGAACGATCACTGAACGTAAATGTAACTCTTCGTACGAGAACTTCGTACCTATCTGTAAACGATGTTGATAGTTGGATAGATTTAAACGTTTGTTAATGTAACCGATCCGGCAGCATTCCGTTGCGCTACGAAATAACAAGCAATACCTCCGTCGAGGGTTAATCGTAATCCTTGATTTAAGGTAGAACATTCTTACATCGCAGCTATCGCATATATATATATATATATATATATATATATGATATATATACTTCTACATTTGATAAACGTTTGTTAGTCGTTTTCACGTTATATCTACTACTTGCAAACTATACACAAGTCGTGCACAGAGTGTTCAGATTTTCATTGCACCGTGGAAATACTTGAATATCGTCTCAGTGAATGAAGAAGATTACTGTACATGGATAAAGACTACGTTACACACCTGAGGACATTTTTGAAATCTTTTTGACGACACTTTGCGTAAGTTCTACCGCGAATACGAATATCCGAGCGTCGAATCGATATTCTCCTCTTTCACGACGCGAAAAGTAATCGTTCTTTGAGAGAAAGTAATCTCATCTTAATCATACAGGGTGCGGCGCAACGGAATGATCGCGGATTTACAGAGTTTATCGAGGCGAGACAGGACACCCGTCGAAAGGATTGTTGCCGATATTTTACTTTACGAACAACATACAGGCCTGTTCGAGGCTGTACTCGACTGTAGGACGGGTTAGCGATTATCTTTGGAATGTGTACTCCGTAGAGACGAGTATCTTTCGAACATTTTTGATCTGACTGGTCGACCGAAGACAAAACCAAAGTTCTGATATATACATATATACATAAGCATATACATATACATATTCGTTATTGAATTTAGAAAAAAGTATATATATATACACGTAAACATAATTGCGTACGGGATGAGTCAGTCGAATCTTGTTACAAGTTCATACTTAAATAACGTGGCAAGGTGTTAAAAGAAATTTATGATTCTATTAACACGAAGAAAGTGAAAAGTTTTCGACAACAAGACGTTCGTAGAATTAAATCGATATCAACGCTTGATCTTGTGGTACACCATATAATAGAATATCCGTAATACTGGTCAAGGTCATTGATAATTTATCGTCGGTGTGCATGATTTTGATACGATAAGCGCCCCAACTACGAGGGTGTTCGCAAAAGTGGTGATAGTGTTTAAGGTAAACATACGACCTTGACAATCACTTTTCTAGATCATTTACCTTAATCGTCTGAAACTATTATCATATAATCATTCCGCCTTTCTCATACAAAAATATTTTATTTAACCAAGGTCGCATTCTCGTACGTCGAACTACGCTCAAAACTAACGAATGATTTCATCGACCAGAAACGGATAGTGTTAAAAATTTCTGAAAAAAAATATTTTTCATTGTTTTTATTTGTTGGAATTTCTGTTACCTTCACAAGGTAACAAAGGTATTTCAAATGACATAAGTAAGCTATGCGCTCTCCTTAATTATGAAAAAAAAACATGAATCGTATTACGTAATATTTTTCGAAAGGAGTCATTTTTGTTATTGGAAAAAAAATGTTACGTTCAAGTCTCAGGAACGTTGTATCCTCCGATGTTCTGTCGGTTTACGTACTATGTATGCATGGGTTGACTTGTAACAGGATAAATGATTCGTTTTGCGTACTACGTAACATATTAACTATAAATATATACAGAGATATGTACAATGAAATTATAAAATGTTTTAGAGACTTTCACGATAAATCTGAAGTGGTGCTTCTTCCGGGCATATGGAGAGAATCTGACGGAATTGCTCGATATAAATTGTGTTTTTTTGATAATTCTCCTTTTGATATGATTTCGATTGGTTTCCGCGCTACACAAAGACACATAGCAAGGAGGTAACGATTAGACGGTTGTTGATGTTTATAATTTCCTCAGACGAGATACTCGGTGGTTCACGACTCGCTTTCGAGGAGCGTTAATACGAATATGTTTACATTTTTTTGCATGTGTAGATATAAGCGTTCGTAAGAAATCTATGTTCACTGTCGTGGTACGGTCATTATTCGAGGAAACGAAAAAAGGAACGATGAATGTTACACACCTATTTTACGGCTATTTTAAATCTAAGGCGCCTTTAAGACGTCTTGAAGGCGTCATTGGACGTCATGTGCTATTTGGGAAATGTCTCGTCTAGGAGTGCTCTCGGTAGATTCAGTTGTGTAAACGCGATATTCACGTCGATTATGTTTACGCGTATCGACGTAGACTGAATTCTGTGATGTCAACTGTATTCAACCATTACTTGGCGCGAGGACTGGTCATGTTATTGAAACCTTGCTTAGTAAATCGTTATACAGGGTACGGTGAAGTTCGAGTTTCAAATGATGAAGATATCATGTTACTTCTGCTCATTAATTGTTCACTTCGACGAGGATACTGTTACAATTTGAACGAGCAAGTTCGATCATGAAAACTATACACATGTATAATTTCCTAAAATCAATGAAGGGATTCCTGTTCGAGGTTGCGGCAGTATCGTTCGTCGATGGCGCTTCGCGTAAAATCCCAGCTTTATCAGCGGCGGAAAAGCTCGTAGCCCTATAATTTATTGATTTTATCACACAGCTTCGAATTACATTTAAAGTTAGCTTGTTTGATAACCCCCGTTTCATTCCCGTCTATTTTAAAATTAGCGCGAAATCAAAAAGTAGATTGTACGACTAATAAGGTCGAAGATACGAAATGAATGTCATACGATTAACAGGAATAGTCATATCCAATTCAAGCGGGGAGGAAAATGCAGCTTGGAAGGATACCTGCTAGTATCGTGATATACATACATATATTTCAAATGAAAGAAAAACAAAAAAGAAGAATATTTTTGTGAAACTATGCGTCCAGAAAACTCCTGACCCAACACGACGATTGTCCTGCTGCGGTGCGGCATGGAAACTATATAAAAGTGCAATATCTTCTCGTAGTCTACGTGTAAGCATAGTTATTTTTCAATGTAAAACGACTGTATAGCTCAACGTTAGGCAAATATATATTTTAGGTACGAGAAAGACAGAAAGAGAGGCAGAGAGAGAAAGAGGAGGGGGAGAAAAAGAGCAAGAAAGATGAGAGAGAAAAGACTCGTCGTTATTTCTTTCGCCCCCTGTCCTTCGTTATATTCCCCTCACACGCCTTGCAAATGATATTCGCAAGAATTAATTGCGTCTAGTTAATTATCGGCTCTGTTAAAGCGTGGGTCAGGGCTCGTTCGTTACTTTACACTTACACCTTTGAATTTCACGACTTTGAAGGAAATACCCATCAGATCGTATTCATCGCGCGGGATATTTAAAAAACCGATAGGACGCTGTTCCGTGACTTTTGGGTTATTAATTGTCCTGCATCGCATCTAATTTGTAACCTGTTCTCTATACTTTGTTTGTGGAAATTATGTTGCAAGGCAATCAACGTTGGCACGAAATAATATTTCACGCTTCGAGAGATTCGGTTGAAATTCACCCGATAGACCGCATTGTCGTTATGTCTGTACTGTTTTTTCAATTACGCGCGCGGAAATTTCCGTGTAACCGATAATTAAACGCAATCGCGGCACGGACCGGTGTACAGCTCGCGAGAATTTATGTCGAGGCGAACGTACAGATGATTCGAGGGACAATTTAATTTCATTAACCGGACCGAAAGTGCTTTCGCGGCGCCACGGCCGGTTCGATTAAACGGAATGTATTTCATATTTTTTCCATTGATCATGGATCTCGATACTCTTTCGTTTTTTGTTTTCGTCTCGTTATTCCATCGGGATTCTGAACGTCCGCGTAAATCAATTACGAGCTGGTTAATCACGGGGCCAATTAAAAGGGCGATTACAATGTAAGAACCGTTCGAGCCAGTCTCGTTTAATTTAATTGCTCCTCCAAGGACAAAACGCGTCCCTTCTTTCGTCTGCTATTTCGCCACTATATTCTTCCACCCCTGTATCAGCGACTGCGCCCCGTAAACTTTTCGCGAATGATGTCGCGAAATCTCCATTAACAACCATATTGTTCAAGTTTCACGCGCAGCCACTCTGCTTCCGACGTTAGGCCGCTGCGTGCTTTTCGATTCTCTTATTGGCGGCCTCGATAATTAATCGTAATTACGCTTCGGAGTCGACGAAAATTGCCGTTATTCAGCGTGGTCGTTGAAAAATTTGTTTAACAGACACAGCGAGCCGATCTCAACCGTTTAAGGGGAAACAATTTTCAAAACCGAACCGAGGATTTCAAAGGCAAAAAATCGTGTAATGGCGAACTTTTATAAAAATATCCGAGTTTTTTCCAGATCAGTGGTCCTTCTTTGAGAATCGAATTACGTCGACGTTGTACCACCGACAGACGCGCTCTTTTGCGCGGCCAACCGGCACGACGATGGGTCAATTTCGAATTCACTGAGCAGCCTGAATGAAGCTTAAACTTTGTCCGATTCCCCTTCTTCGCTCTGTCGGGGCCCCCGACGACAGAGATTATTTTCAGTTTTTCCCGGTTTTCGTTGCCCCGACCCCCGACGCGCTGCTCCCGCATAGCTTGTCTAACCACCGTCAGAAAAGTCACCGTGTGGAACAGAGATTAACGGAACCGAAAAATGTAGAGATTAAACGTCCGTCTGTCTCACCACCCTTTTGTCCTACCGCGTCTGTCTCTGGAATCAACAAAAATGTTTTATCGCTACATAGGTACTTTTCCCTTTTGCCTTGCTACAATTTTTGTCGTCGCATTTTTACAAAGCAAAACGCCTCGAACAGGACCTCTGGATTATATTCTTTTATCTTCTACGTTTTCTGTTTCAAGAATCATCCTGTGACAGAAAGCAGACTTTCTCCCACCTCTTAGAATGTTTACGAATTGAGAATTAATTTTTATACAGCGTCTGAAATCTGCAATGAGTAGAAAAAGTAGTGGCACTGAACGAACGAAAAAAG